CCGAGGCCGGCCGCTTCTTCAGGCTGTCCTTGTACTGCTGCTTGCGCCGCTTGGCCGCGTTGCCCTCGATGTTGCCGTAGGTGACTGTGTGCGTGGAGATGTCGGACACGTCCGAGCGGATCAGGTCGTCGTGGCCGCCGTAGCGGTCACTCTTGAAGGAGAACTTGCCGTACAAGTCACTGAGCTGGCTGTGTTTGGAGGCGGGCAGGCCGATGTCCAGTGGCTTCTTGCCGATGGGCCTGGGCTGGCCGGGGAAGGGTGGGTTGTCGCAGTCGTAAAGGCCGTCGATGGAGCTGGTGCTGCCGATGCTGTGCGGCCGGTGGTGGTGGTGGTAGTGGTCTTGGTACACGTTGCTGTCCTTCAGCTGCAGGTTCCCGAAGGTTCGCTCCACCTCGCTGATGTAGTCGCTGAACAGGTTCTCCTCGCACGGCGGATTGTTGTAGGACTTGCAGTCCGAGTGCGTGAAGCTGCGGCGGTGCTCGGAGATGTCGTAGACCGAGGACTCGCGGCGGATGAAGTCCAGGGCGCTCTGCGGCGAGCCGTTCACGCCCGACAGGTTGGCCATGTTCTTGGCGGTGCGGAGCAGGCGCAGGATGTTGGAGTGCGTGTTGTTCATGGTCGCGGTGGGCGAGTTCATCGCGGACTGGCGCTCCTCGATAGCCACGCCGTGGATACAGCTGTAGATGCCCTGGAGGGACACAGGACGGCACAGGTCAGGTACAGGATGGGGGCGCTACTGATGATGCCCATCTGCGCACCCCACCGCTGACGGCCTGGCGGGGCGAGAAAGGCCAGGGAAAGAGCCAGGCAGAGAGGCTCGCACGCTCAGATACCGCGCGGCCCGAGCCATCTGACTTGTCCGCTTGGGTTCAGCAAGCTGCCTTCGTGAGCTAAGGTTGATGACGCGGCTGTCGGAGGGGGCTCGACCACACCACGGGACGGGCACACGGACTGCAACCGCAAGGCACGATGCGCTTGCCTGGAGTCCGCCCTTGACTTACCTTGATGTTTGAAATCTATGCCCAGATTTTTGCATTTTAAAAATGAGGCCATGATACGAACCCATAGCAAAATAACACTGCCAGTCACCAGCACAAATGGAGGTGAATGGGAAGCTCCAGCCATTCACCAGTGCCGGGCTGTTCCGCCCTTTGCCGCCACCCCGGGCCGGCAGCGCAGAGCAGGAGGCAGCGGCTCACAATTGCCGCTCTCTTTTGGGCTGGATAAATTTTGGTCACCAAATAACAGCTGAGCAATTCTGTTTTTTAGCCAAGCATGAACCAAATTCACACAGAGAATTAAGAAGCCCTGGGGTCAAAGAAGGATTTTTCTCCCGCTGTGCTCTACACTGCGGGAGGGAAGAATTGGGACAAATACGAGCATTAAATATGAATAGATGATTCCCTTGTTGGATGATCTTCTTTATTCTCCCCTTAGTTCCTGATTTCCTTCTTGTACTTTCTCACTTAACATTATCATAAATAAAGTTTTATCAAATTAGTATCAGTGGAAACTCCCTCTGTACACTTCCTGTATGGAGCACTGGAGAAAAGCAACCACGAAAGGAAAGGGTTTGAGATCCCAGAGGGCCAGCTGTGCCACATCTAATGTGAAACCCACCTACTGCTCGCCTTTGGCTGCCTGCTTTGAAAAGTAGGCTTTCCTCTCTGGGAGGGGGCTGTGTCTTTACAACAAAGGAGGTTAATTTGGAAAACGATATTGCCTCAGTGGATGGGAATGAGAGCAGAGCATGGCAGCTGGGTGGAATGAAGAAGTGAGTCTTCTGTCTCAGGGGGTATCACAAGATATAAGACCTTCAAGGTGAGGGAATTCTGCCTTCTTTCCTGTTCCTCCTTTCTAGTGCTTCTTGGTGATGGCCAGGAGAAAATGATAAGCATTTATGATAAAAATGATAAAAATGATAAGCTTATGATAAGCATAAGGGACTGCTTATGTCAAAGGTCTATGAATGGGATTCCTACCAAGGTCACTGATTGCCACTTCATCCCCTGTAAAGGGACTGCTTATGTCAAAGGTCTATGAATGGGATTCCTACCAAGGTCACTGATTGCCACTTCTCTCGCCCTCCCTCTATCTGGAACCTAAGGGAAGGGCTATGCGCTGGCTGAGGGACTGAAGCCACCACAAGTTCTGTGCTCCCCTTCTGACCTTACTGAGTGACCCACATTAACCCCCAGCCAGAGAGGAAATGAAGAAATTGTGCCCTATCAGTAAAATACTATGGGAAAATGACCAAAGTATGAAACAATTTAATGAGATATCCATTTTCTTTCATAACTCCATTTGAACCAAAGTAGGTCATATCTGGAATGTGGATCTCAGTCCTAAAAGGTCATTTAAGTTCAACCCTTGTGAGTTTCAGAACCTTATTAACAAAAATCAAAAGAAGCCCACTCTTTTTAAAAACATCTCCCTGTGACATGTCGTTCATGTGCAAAATTGGCTTCTGAATGCTTCACTTTGGACTAAAAATAAAGAGACCTCAAGAAGAAAATGATCTAAGAGTTATACTCTTGCTCTGATTAAGGAAGTTTCTGAAATAGAAATTTCTTAGGAGTCCAGACTTATTTCTGAATGTTCTGTTAAGCTCTTTAACTTCCCATAACCCACACATGGTTAAAACACAGGATGAGTGAAACCACCAATCACATACCCTTATGTGTTAGAGGAAGAGGAAGAGGACATATGTTACATTGCACTATTTAAATTGAAATATGAGTCCTTTAAAGGATTAAGTGATTAATAAAGTCTATACATAATCAACTAATTTGTGATGAAAGCATTTGGGGAGAGAGTCATTTTGATAGATCTGCCAGTTCTTATAGAGAACCAAATGCTCAAACCTCACATAGAAAGCTATTTCTTAAAGGAAATATAGTTTCACCCACACTTTGAGCCACTTGAAATCACGTCACACAAACTCCTAGGGAAACACACGTGACATGATTTCTTGCTTTAGCAACATAAGGCTGGAGTTAGTGCCCTCTTGGGTCTCTTGGTGTAGTCTCTGTGCTTTGAAAGCCAGCTTCACAAGCTCTAGGCATCTAAATCAAAGCACTTACTCTGCTGATGGAGAAGACCATGCCAGGCTTGCCAGAACAGACCCCCATAAAGCAATGCCGGAATTGCCAATAGAAAAGGTGTTCACAGATGAAGGTGATAAGGCTGAGAGCCATGGCTGCCCCCAACATGTAGAAGACGCCTGCCATGTTGTCGATGTCCAGCTGGCTGCTCATGACCTCGTTCTTCTCATTGTGGCAAATGCCAGTGAGCCAGAGAGCTTCCAGTTCTTCCATCTCACCTAGAGACAGAGCAGAGAAGAAAAACAGAAAAAGGGGGAAAAGAGGAAAGGAGCAGAAAAGGGGGAAAAGAGAAATATTGAGGAAGAGAGAAAAAACGTAAGAAAGGGACAGGGAGACACAAAGCAAATGAATACAGAAAGTTAACCGCAGTTTCATTAGTACCACCGCAGTACATATTAATTCATCGATGTGTACAATCAATATTCAGTGAAAACTTCATGAGGGCCCTGCGGGTGGTATGAAGACATACACATTGCCATCCTTTAACCAGTGTACCCTGGTATATGGTGTGATATATGCGATATAGGTCATTGTTCAAATCGGCGAGAGTGTCATTGTGGGTTTTCACATGGGAGACTTGGGAGTGGACACGTGGACACAACGGATGAATAGTTTTGTATTATATTAAAAAGGTAACACAGGCAGCTAGGATAGTATGATCAGTGGAGGGGGCTTTGGAAACTCAAGGCATATGTAGGGAAAAGCATGAAGAACAGAATAATAATTGGCACAGAGGCAGAATAAAAGTCAAATAGGAGAATTCTGAGGATTTCTGTATCAGACCAAGCACTTTGTATTTATAGACAGTGTGGAGAATAACACAATCATGGGACTCAGAAACTTTCTCTTAAAATTATGACAAGCAGATTGGGAAGGGGAAGGTGACAGAGAGAGAGATCAAGAGAGTCTGATTTATTCCCCAGGGTCCCTCAGATTCACAGACCTCATGTTGCAGAGGAAAATATAAAAAGCAAAAGAGGAGCAATCTTGAATAAAAGCAAGACCACTGAAGTTAAGACTGCTTCCTCTTAACACTGCCTGTGGATGTTTTGATGGCTTCAGCTCTGTCAGATTTCAATAGTCTTTATCTACTTCACTGGGTTCTAGGAATTGGAAAGGTAGAAATCCTAGACAAAAGAAAAATGAAAGAAATTGCATGCCCAAGAACACCTCTCTTCCCCAACAAACAAGCAATATTCTGAAAATCTCCTGAAGAAAATTATCTGTTTCAGTAGTTCCAGTTTTGTGAAAAAAAAGGAAAAAAATTGAACTTTGTATAATCTGATTAAAACAGACGAATTTCACAAATCCTTTCTACAGTTTCATAGGCTCCACTTTTTCCTGTGATAACAACCACAAAATCTCAGAAGCTCTTATACCAAAATTGCTTGTTCACACTCCAGCCACAACTGCCTGTTAACTAGGGGAGCAGTCAACTTCACCTGGAGTCTGGAAATCCACCTCTAGTCTTCTGCTTCTCATCTCATCCCTAACAGTCCAAATTCTGCAGACCACACTCAATTTAGAAAGCCACTTGGCTGACGGTCTTCAGAGCCACATAGAGTGACTCCGCTTATCTGGAACTGCATTTGTTTCTGTGAGAATGATGAGAAGAGTAGGTGCTCTGGACAATAAAGTGATGAAAAACACAGGAAACTGGGTTGTAAGGAAGCCAAAGAGATTTTTCTCCATGCAAGTTGGCTACTCAGCCTGCCGCCAGAGTAAGATGGGACAGTGCCTTGTTGTATCTGGCTCTGAGGACCCTGCCCTGTCTCCTGTCTTCCAGCCACAAGAGCCAGGTGGGAGAAAGGGAAGAATGGGTAAACGACCACACTTTCACTTCTCTGCCCTTTCTTTCTGAGCATGTAGATAGGAAGGTCCTCCCCCAGTTCCTTCTACTGTTAGGGCCACTTGTGAGTGGCTGTGGGAGCATCTACTATGAGCCTTTACCTATTTTATTCCGCAGTCTTTAAATGTGCTTTCTTGACTGACAACTTCAATTTCTTCCTTCACCTTTCACACAGTATAGGTTGAATTGTGTCCCTCTTCTCCCATAATTCACATTATGAAGTCTAAATACCCCCATGCCTTATGATATGACTTTAGTTGGAAATATAGTCACTGCAGATGTAATTAGTTAAGATGAGGTCCTACTCAAGTACTGTGGGCCCCAACACCGTTTGAATGGTCTTAAGGAAAAGGTAAACTCAGACAGACAGATGTACAGAGAAGAAAAATGCATACAGGCAGAAAGCCATGAGAATCAGGGGAAGACAAAAGTCATGATGCTCCTACAAACCAAGGAACACCAAATATTACCAGAAAACTGTCAGAACCTAGGAAAGAGGGATAAAGCATATTCTCGTTGCAGCCCCCAGGAGAAACTAATCTTACTGACACCTTGATTTTAAACTTCTAACCTTCAGAACTTGGGGACATTTCTGTCATTTAAGTCACTCAGTTTGTGGTAGCTCATTGTGTCAGCCCTGGGAATCTAATAAATACCTCAAATCTCATTATAAATTGTGAGATGCATTTTGGAAATGCATAGGTTAGGAGACTAGAGAAGTGAGAAAAGTTGACATTGTGTCCTTACCATTGGTAAGGACTTTCCCTTTCTTCAACTCACCATCTCCAAACAGCTGCAGGATGGCAAGGTCCACCTGGCGCTTCCACCCAGAGTCTTTCTGGATGGCAATGCCATAACCAGTGGAAGCAAAGACCTTGCCGCTGCCAATGGTCACCAGCTTGCAGCCTTCATCTCTGCCCGCCATGTAATTCAGCACTGCGGCATCGTAGATGAAGGCATCCAGTTTCCTGTATAAGAGAGACGCAAACAAAATCCCAAGGGGGAATTTTAGGACGGAACTGCCTATGGGGCCATTAGTATAAAGCAGCAGGGTCCCAGGAAGCCTTGGAGAAGTGGGGGGAAATGAGGCTGAAGTTGGGCCACTGTCAGAATTTAAGGCCTGCATCCCAGGCTGTTCTTTATGTGATTTCAGGCTGGAAGGAGGAGTTCTTTGCATCCTCCTGGGAATGATAAGAATGTAAGATGGGCCTGAAGCCAACTCATAAGCTGTGTCTGGAAAGGAGAAGGAGTAAAAAGGGATCAATAAAAATAATAACAGAAATAATGAAAAGTAAGCACCACAATGATAACAAATAGCACAGGTAAGATTTATATAACATTTTTCATTTCTCAGTTCATTACAGTCCAGAGTGGGGATAAGTGTAGGTGTGTGTGTTTCAATAGATGGGCAATGCTATTTTTGTGGCCAGAAAGGTTCCAATATTTTTACTATGCAGCACAAGGATGAGGTGAGCGGTGGGATGGGACAGCACAGGCTGTGTGAGAGTAAATGTGAGACGCTGCAAAAGCAGGCAACAAATGGAAGAGCCCATACCTCTGAAATTCTTAAACATATGCAAGCTTCATTTTATGCATTGTGCTTTCTAAGACTCAGAGTAAGGCCAGGAAGGCATGCATCAATGTTCTAAACCAACATTTTATATACAACAAAGGTAGAGGAAGAAATTCAGACAAAGCCATACAGGTAATAGGTCTGAAAGAAAGGCCATGCCTCTTCCCCTGTACTTCTCTAGGGCAAGTAGCATTCTCCCTCCTTGAGAAAAAAAAAAAAAAGCTGTTGCTGACATGACACAGGACATTTTATAACAGGTGTCCTTCAGAAAAGCAGCACACCAAAACCCAAGGCTCCCATATGTCTGAGAATGCTGGGTATACCTGGGTTCAGACTATCCAAAGAGATCCTATGCCATCCTCCGAAATCTGTTGTGACTTTAATTATGTTTAATAAGCATCCCATGGTATTTTATGTAACCATGTGTCTAGGTGGCCATGGGGACATCGAGAGGAGGCCCCCATGCTGCTAGTCATTATACAACGGAAGATAGTGACAAGATCCGTTGGCCCCCAAATCCCAAGCTCTACAATGCTCCAGTAGTGACCATGACCCACAGCTCTGGCTTCTGGAAACTAAACAGAAAGGGGACAAGGGCGCCCAGTGCAAGGCGTGTCAGCACACTGTTGCTTCACAAACATTTTACTGAACATATGTTCCTTCAACCCAAAAGCTGGCTCACAAGGAAAACCAATGAAAGCTGAACTGGAGATCAGACAGCACATTCTCGCTTTCTGTTATCTAAAATCTTTAATAGTTTTCTTATTTATTTCCCCATTGTCCATAATACTCCAGAATGATCATTCTCACCTCTTAGAGACTATAGTTCTTTTTATGCATAACATATGAGCCTTATCCTTGACTCTTTCTACCTTTATATCCATTTAATCTCTGCTCCACAATTACATGAATGCGATCAATAGAAAGCAATTTGTGAAAAAATGCACAAAAGTAAGTAATGGAATGAGAATCTTTGTACATTGGTCTGACTTATAATGTCAAATGTAACTGGGAAATCTGTAGAGAGCAAATAGTCTTCTCTGATTTAACATTTTTATGTCACAAAGGATGATGTCTACTCATACATCTGATTCAATATATGCTTCTTAATAAATGTGAGGAGCACATCACTCTTTGTGTGTGGAAGTAGTCCTTACCCTGTTTTCAGGGAGAGCAATGCATCATCTACACCCCTCTGGTTGAACTTTCCCATGTAGGCGTGCATTTCTGCGTAGTTATTGCGAATGTTCCTCTCTGTGCTACCATTGGGCACAGTCCCAAAGCGAAAAGGGGGGGAGAAGTCATTAGGCCTCTGGAACTGCAGAGAGAAAGAGAAGGAAGGGGGTGGGTAAGATCCTTTAGAAAATATGAAGAGACATTAAGTTAGCGTTAGCAGGTGTTCAACGGAAGGGACCCAACTATGATTTGACAAATACATCCACCCTCACTCAGGAGGGGCAGTTTCTGCCTAGAAGTGGACTTCAATGCAACTCATTTAATAATATTGTTGAGAGATTTCTATTTTCCCAACCCTGACTTTAATCTATAACCTTGTTTGTTCCTTTTGAGCACACTGCGCAATACCAGTGATGAGGACCCAGAAAGAGATATGCTGGGAGCCTAACCGTGGTGGGTGGTTACCTTTATTTTCGCACATTGCATAAGACCTGTATCCAGGTCTCTTAATGTATGAGCCTAAACACATTGGTATCGCATTATAAAGGACATAGGGCCCTAGTGAGGTGAGTACATTGTATTCCTGAAGATAATATGTTGAATACGACATGCATTTTGCTAAGAAATTTTCTCTTAACTTTCAAAGGATTCACAGCTCATGTTTACCCCTCATAAGGTGTCAGATAAATTGCGAGGTCAAATACCATATTAATTATATCCTCCCCTTGGTTAAATACCTAGAGTAGATCTTTAGTGCCTACTATATTAAAAGTGAAACTTCATGGATTTTCACCTCTATGACATCAGCTTTATTCCTGGCTAGTATCTTGCAATGAGAAAATCTTCATATTGTTCTCTGGATTCATAATTTTTTCACTTGTATGCCTGGTGAAGTGTAGCTCCGTAAGGGAAACTCACCTTAATCTCTAGGCCAATTCATAGTCTTCATCTCAAAAGAAAACTCAAAGCAATTTCTTCAGTGAATTCTTCTATCAAGTTTACCCAAAGTGATCCATTAGTACTTGTTATTCTGGTTTGGACCACTGTAATTCATGCTACAAATTTAATTACTCCTAAATGTGCTGGCTATGAAATGAGAGCCAGTTGCTAATGCAGTCATTAAGAGTTTCAGCTAGAGAGTAAACAGGCAGAATGAAGACCGGCTCTGCCACTTGGTGCTGTGGGACCTTGAGCACACCATACAAACTCTTCTTTTACTATTTCTCCTCTGTAAAAAGGAGTTAATGATGCCTAGTTTTCAAGACTGTTTTGGGAACTGAACTACATAACACACATGAAGTGCTTGACCCAGCACCTAGCATGCAGCAAGTGTTCAATAAATGTTCTCATATTATTTGTAACTTGTGTCTCTATGCTGCACTTCCTATTAAATTGTAGGTTCACCAAGCTTCTTCTTCTCTAAGAATAGCAATTACAGGATATGACTAGGATAGCCTGCTCTGCCTTTGGGTAGGGAAGAAAATGAAGACATTTAGGCTCCATGATTTTAGTACTTTTATTAGTTACTTTGCAGATGTAGTTGAAAATCTAAACTCTAACTTTCTTTTAGATCTAACCTGCTAACTCAGGAAAACTCTGAACCTTCAGAATTGCCAGGCTTAGAAGTTGTTCTTTTTCCTTTTCAGAATTTGAAGGTTGCACAGGGCACAAAATGTCACAGCACCAGGAGCCCTACGTGCCTTCTTAACTGCTCACTGATGACCATAGTCAAAGTAGCCTCATGCCGCGGTGTTAGACAGTTTGGGTTGTATCAAAAGACCACCACTTCCTGATGGAAAAAGCTTCCCCTTTGATTCATCATGGTGCTTCTAACATTAAAAATCTTGGTTTATTTTTAGAGGGTTTGTAACTTTTAAATGAACAAAGATAACACAGAACAGTCAGGGTTTCAGGGCTGAATGGGTTACATGAGGTTAACCAGATTAAACCTTTCATTTGACAAATGACAGGGCAAGTGATTGGCCCACCTTCACACGGTAGCAGTGATGGTTAACATTACTGGGGCTCAACTGACCTGATTAATAGTTATCCCACTATTCCCAGTAGGTACTAAGTTGAAGGTCATAAAGGGATATGCTTTATTGGTGAGACAGACACCAGAATGCCTTGCCTGTCACTTTCCAACTGGATGTTTGAATAAAGGTATTCCCCAAATCCAAAGCACAGTAGATGATGCTACAATAGGCAGCAATGTAACCAAATAAGCTCCATCTAATCAATAAATCCCCACTTTGCTAAGGCAACAACAGCCGATGTTCATAATGACTATGATACTCTATGGCTCAAAGTATTTTCCGGAACATCAATGAAAGTTGTAACCATGTCCAATATAGGTCCAGTATAAATTACTACACTATAACTTAAAAAAAATTGGCAATCCATGCAAATCCATTTGATTAACTAAATGGAATCCCATGCTGAGTCCCTTGCTTTCGAATGAGACTTCACACTAGATAGCTTTCATACTTCATGGAGATTTCTCAAAAACTAAACTAGAAATCAAAAAATAAATGATGGCAAGGCTCCAGGGAAAAATGAACACTTCTGTATTGTTGGTGGGAGTGTAGACTAGTTCAACTACTGTGGAAATCAGCATGGAGATTCCTAAGAAAACCAAAACCAGAAATTCCATTTGACCCAGCTACTGTGTCCCTCTTCTATGTATCTTCTCCAAAGAATTAAAAACATTACAGTAGTACATGCACACCCATGTTTATAGTAGCACAATTCATAATGGCTAAGCCTTTGAAGTAGCCTATATGTCCATCAGTAAGTGACCAATTAAAGAAAATGTGGTATTTATATACAATGGAGTTCTATTCCTCCATGAAGAAGAATAAACTTGAGTCATCTGTAGGTAAATGGGTGCACCTGGAGATTATAATGTTAAATGAAATAAATCAGACACACAAGTTTAAATTTTGCATGGTTTCTTTTGTATGAAAAATCCATAATATAAATAAAGAGCAAAATAAAAGATACATAATAAGAAATAGGAAGACAGATCTTTGCAAAAGGGAAAGGGACTAAGGGATGAATAGGATACAGGGAATAAGGGAGGGGGATAAAAAAATAAGATGTGGTATGCACATGTACCAACTCCCCATGAACAATGTATACCATTATGTACTGACAAAAAATTAAAATAAAAAAAAGAAAGCATCCATATTGCTTTCTAGTCACTTTTAATTTTAGGTCATCTTTAGACCGCTAGACATTGTTTTACAACTGTATCCTTGAATAAGTAAAAACTCAGAAAATGATAGCAAACCTAGAAGAGCAAGGGAAACACTGAAAAAGAAGAACAAAATAGGAAGATGTATACTATGTGATTGCAAACTTCACTGTAAAGCTGTAGCAATCATGACAGCAAAGCGCTGGAACAGAGAGAAGAAGAGATCACTGTGACAGGACAGAGGGCTGTCTAGCAGACCCACACTGCTGTGGAACAAAGATAATTCAGTGGGGACAGTCTTGTTTTCAACAAATGGTGTAGAGATAATTGGATATTTGTATGCAGAAAGAACCTCATAAAATGCGCAGAAAGTAACTCAAAGTAGATAATATCCCTAAAATGTAAATCTTAAAATTCTAAAATTTCTAGAAAAAAAAGTTGTAACTTTTCAGTTAGACAAATATTTCTTAGATACAACACCAAAATGCACCATCTAACCCCACGAAATTAGGCTTCATGAAAACTATGAACTTGCCTTGAAAAGCTGCAGTGACGATCATGAAAAGGGAAGCCACCAACTGGGAGTGATATCAAAAATGAATTAAGGCCAATAAAGAGCAAGTTAGATAATAACATGGCAAACTTACTTAGTGAGGCATCTCCCATAAGAAAATAATCAGAGAAACCAGCCAGTCAGGAATGGGAAGAATAAGAAGGTATAGTTCTGTGGAGAAAATTTATTTTGGGGAAGACAATCTGGATTTGAGTTCCAGCTCCATTTTGTGCCAGCTGCAGGAACATGGTCAAGTTACTTAAATTGTGGAGCCTCATTTTTCTGGGAGTACTATTTTAATGGCTAAGGTAGTATGAAGAAAAACACTAAACACCATATCTAGCACATGGTGAATTTTCAAAATTGTTAGCTTCTGCTGCAATGAAGTTCTAATGTCTAAAATTGTCCTGTGTTAGGCAATGTTCCCTCAGATGGAAAACTCTTGTTCCTTAAACTAGGCCAATCTGGGGTCCAACAGAGGAAGTGCATTGCCCCAGAATCAGCCAAATCTGAAGCAGGAACAAATTTCCTTTTTCTTTTGAAAATTCTTGCCCTAGCTTGATAAGATCTGTGAGGTTTAAATAAAACACAGATTTTTCAAAAACTGTCATTGGAACTTGAACTTTGCTAAAATTTGCATTCATGATGAATTACATGTTAAAAGAGGCCCCTGGGGAACAACGTAAAAAAAAATATCTTCCAATATACCGATGTTTGCAATAAATGCCCTCATAATAAAACTAATCCCAAACTTTGAGGCATTATTGTTTAACCTGTGTGGAAGTCAATGTTTTCTGTTTTTCTTTTTTTAGAGGAATAAAATTTAGCTCCATTAAATTCCAGAAAATGTCTTACAATATAATAATAAAAAATACCTTAAAGACAATTTAATTTAAAAAAACAACAATGTAACAGAGAGACTAGTAATAAGTTAAACTGACTTTGGAGTAGGAAATTTTTAATAGCAAACCTTTCAAATAACTATGAACATCACCAGGCTTCCGTGAACTTGGAATTCTTTCTAGGAGCCCCCTAGGTTGGGATTACCAAAGCCTGGGTTTGGACAAGGAAATAAAAACACAGAAGGGAATGAATTTCAGGGATCAGTTCCATTTCACAGATCAGGAAATCAAAGGTTTGGAGAGGTCTCTAAGAATGCTCAAGGCCACAGAGTGTAGCAGGGCAAACAGACTTTCCAGAGTGCTGAGGCTTCTCTCGCTGGCTCTCACACTAGCCGAATAGCCCCACCTCTTGGAGAGGGAAGCATACGGGGCGTAAGGGAGGCACAATCCATGCCAAAGCCCACCCTTTCCCCTGGGCTCTGCACATGGACCCCAGCAGTTACTGCAAGCACACTTCTCTGCACCAGGGCAGCACCACTGCAGAATGCTAG